AAAACCAGGAAGAATATAGATCAGCATTTTGAGCTGTATAGGAAGATATTTTTTGAGCTTGTTGTTGAAGTATTGTTGCTGACTACAATTTAGCTGTTTAATTATTTTGGACTTTTTTTTCTCACAGTTTGTGATGCTGTATTTGGGCAGCATTACCAACAAAGCAAGAAATTGGAAGCAAAAAGAAAGTAGGATTCAGAAACAGTTACATAAACAATAATGTAAATGGAGAACTTGAAAAAAAAACTTGGTTTTAAACATATAAATGAAAAAAATAGAACGAAGCAGAAAAATCTAATGAAAAACCGTGTATTTGTAAAATGCTTTATGAATTTTACCTTCTAGTAAAAAGTCCTAACATGCTTCAAAAGTTGAAATTTTTTTTCATTTTCTTTCCCAGATTAGAATTTGCGTTAATTCGATTGTGAATGAGCATTGTCTGAGGTATCACTGCAACTACACCGAACCTCGCTCGGCGCTCCTTTTCGTTCCTCTGTTCCTCTTCATCCTGTCCTCTACTCGCTCGTTCGGCACCACTTGCCATGCCATGCAGTTTTGTTTTCTCTATTCCCATGAATTCTGTCTTTCTGACTATTTTTCGTCAACCTTATTTGTGTTTCGTTTTCGCCTACTTGGCTCTTAATATTTCCCACTCTTTTGGCTTCATCCGTTCATCTCGTTTGAAGTATTTCCCACTTTGCTAAAACAAATTTTTTTTTTTTTTTGCTTTTCTGTGCTGCATTTTCAGGGTTCTTTATTCTCCTCCTCACTATTTTCTTCTTGTTCTTTTCACTTCTTTAGCCTCTCTTTATACTGTACACCTTCGTTTAATCTGTTCGATGTTTTATTCACGTGAATTGGCTAAAGAACTTTCTCTCTGTCTTTGACATCCTTAAAGTGCTGTAACATCTCATCTGTTTATTTAGTAAAACTTCTGTAAGACGATGCAACATTAAGCAGTGACCATATTTTATTACAGAAGTCGAAATTTTGACAATACAGTATTTTAAGTCCTAAAGAACTGATTTGCTGTTTCTTTTTGTCACTGTCATGCACTAAAAATTTGTTCTTTTTTGTTTGACTCTGACTTTCTCCTCTCAACTGACCACTTACTTTCTCAACTTTCATCTCTTCTAAAAGTACCCTCTTGAAAAACCAAATATTTTGTTTCTCTCTTTTTATTTTTTTTTTTCTGTCATTTTTTGGAGAATTTTATGGTTAAAAAAGAAATAAACTTTATAAAATTTGGCAGTAACAAAATATGAATTCTGGTTGGCATTGCACAATTTTGAAACTTAAAAACTCTGTATTTATGATTCTGAAAGAGTGGAAAATTGAAAAAAAAAAATGATAAAAGGCAAAAAAAAAAAAAAAAAAATTTATTTTGTTTTTAACAAAT